TTTAATGCCCAGGTGGATCAAAGAGTACGGATGAAAACGGATCGGATACGAACCGATATCACTTATATTATATTTGTTTTTATATTTATGTTCGGATTCGGATTCGGACATGGATAGCGTTCGGATACATATATGAATACGTATTGACTCGGTTACGGATACGAATAATGAGTATCGAATACGGTATGAATCGGATTCGGAGAATGTCGGATACAAATATCCATTCAGATATTGAGTAAAAGTAAAAGCAGCATATACATATATATATATATATATCATACGTGCGCAAACCATTACACCACTCTATGAGTCCATAATCCATCTAGATTAAGCCGAAAGACTAAAAAGTAAAGCAACAAATAAGATAAAGATACAGATACATCATACATCAAACATCATACAAGCACCAATCTTCGCGGCATGAGTAGAAATAGCCGAGCTCATTGCTTCATGGGTCTCATGGAGTCATGGTCATGGATTCAAGATCTACAATCCTTATATAGGCCATTTTTTTCATTTGAGAAAGTTTGAACAAAATGTAGTTCAACTTTCACAGGTGTGTGACATAGTTTTATAAAGTCTGTATGAGATTTAAGAATTTGTGATTAGTGTTTGATAAAACTTTCTCAAATGGAAAAATGAGCTATGTAACAATTGTAGATCTTGCTGAGATGATCAAACTTGGTATTCAGAGTTTTTTTATCTGAGGTCATTTAGTGTCTCATTTGAGCAAGTTTGACCAAGTCAAATTTGGTCAAATGAAAAAACAACACTTTGACTCTAATATTATGAACTCTAAATGACTTCAAATTGAAAAGTTTTGAATAACAAGTTTGTTCAACTTATCAAGATCTACAATTCTTGTTTTGGTCAACTTTCTATTTGAGATAGTTTGGATGGTTTAAATTTATGATTTTTAAATTTGGATGCTTACAAACTAGTTTTCGGAACCCTAGATTGTCTCAAATTGAAAAGTTTTGAATACCAAGTTTGTTCAGCTCATCAAGATCTACAATCCTTATATAGGCTATTTTTTCATTTGAGAAAGTTTGAACAAAATATAGTTTAAATTTCACAAGTGTGTGACATAGTTTCAGAAAGTCTATATGAGATTCAAGAATTTGTGACTAGTGTTTGATAAAACTTTCTCAAATGGAAAAATGAGCTATGTAACAATTGTATATCTTGCTGAGATGATCAAACTTGGTATTCAGAGTTTTTTCATGTGAGGTCATTTAGTGTCTCATTTGAGCAAGTTTGACCAAGTCAAATTTGGTCAAATGAAAAAACAATACTTTGACTCTAATATTATGAACTCTAAATGACTTCAAATTGAAAGGTTGTGAATACCAAGTTTGTTCAACTCATCAAGATCTACAATTGTTGTTTTGGTCAACTTTCCATTTGAGATAGTTTGGATGGTTCAAATTTATGATTTTTAAATTTTAACGTTTACAAACTAGTTTTCGGAACCCTATATTGTCTCAAATTGAAAAGTTTTGAATACCAAATTTGTTCATCTCATCAAGATCTACAATCCATATATAGGTCATTTTTTCATTTAACAAAGTTTGAACAAAATATAGTTCAAATTTCACAAGTGTGTGACATAGTTTCAGAAAGTCTATATGAGATTTAAGAATTTGTGACTAGTGTTTGATAAAACTTTCTCAAATGGGAAAACGAGCTATGTAACAATTGTAGATCTTGCTGAGATGATCAAACTTGGTATTCATAGTTTTTTTATCTGAGGTCATTTAGTGTCTCATTTGAGTAAGTTTGACCAAGTCAAATTTGGTCAAATGAAAAAACAACACTTTGACTTCAGTATTATGAACTCTAAATGACTTCAAATTGAAAAGTTTTGAATACCAAGTTTGTTCAAATCATCAAGATCTACAATTGTTGTTTTGGTCAACTTTTCATTTGAGATAGTTTGGATGGTTCAAATTTGTGATTTTTAAATTTTGACACCTATAAACTAGTTTTTCATTTGAGAAAGTTTGGACGGTTTAAATTTTGAAGCACTAAATGATTTCGAACGAAAAAGTTGTAAACAACAAAGTTTCATAACTTTTTGAGATCTACAATTTTTATTTTGATCATTTCTCCATCCAAGGTCGTTTGAATAATATCTGGATAATATCTGTTTTTAAATATCCGGATATATCCGATACTTATCTGGATTATCCGATATCCGCCGGATATCGATGATATTACATCCGTATTTGATATCCGCCTAAGATATCCGTTTTAGTATCCGTATTCGAAAAAAATTACGGATATTCGAGTAACTATCTAGATAAGTGTTCATATTTATTCGATCGAACGGACGATCGAATAAATATCCGTACCGTTTTCATGCATATCAAAGAGTGATGCTCAGGGAACAGTACCATCGTCGCCATGTCCAGATCGTATTGAGTTCGCGCCAAGCAAGAAATATATATATAATCAAAGTGTTCCCCAACTATGTGATCACGTAGTACTTCGACGATATCTAGGCCTCTAGCTAGCTCCTGTATAGCCCAGTGGCCTTCGCGCACTTCCACTTTCCTGTCTTTCGTCCAACCGTCCTGATGCATGTCATCAGGCCGGTTGCATCGACGACGACATGACTGGTCGAGCAGCTACTCTATAAATACCGTGCAATCAACAACGCCAAGCCATCATCATGCAGGCTAGGCAACATCGTTTATTTTTGATCGAGTTAAATGCATGGTAGGGCTTTCAACTTATCTTATGGTGCTATTTAGGTTCACGAACTTTCAAATCGTATTTCAGGCACCTTAATGTTGTTTAAGTATATCATTTAGGTCCATAACTCATCGGAAGCAAGGTTTTGATCGACGTGGGCCCTGTTCACTTCTCTTATAATCCGTCTTTTTCAGCTTGTTTTTTTTCAGCCGGAACCGTGTTTTCTCTCATAACAAATCTGCTGGAACAGTTTTTCGACTTGTTTTTTCAGCGAAGCGAACGAGGCCGTGGAGTGGACAGCGTGACGCTGACTGGGTCCAAGTGCACGTGAGCCACACGTGAGCCTGGTTTGGGGCGTGCAAATAAGCAGAAAGGCCACCCAGTTCTCCTGTTCTTCTCCATATCTCCTCTTACTTTTTCCTTCTCTGTTTCTGTCTCTCTGCCCGAACTCACTCTCCAAGCCACCGCCGCCGCCTTGTCGATCTACTCCATGGCTCCACCAGGGAGCACGTCGTGCTCCAATAGGCGTGAGGGCGGCCTTCCCCTCATCCTGTGCACCGAATGCGGCGGTCGAATGGTGGTGGGGCGCGTTTCCACGCAGCCATAGAGTGCAGGGAAGGTATTCTACTGTTGCCCAGACCATAAGGTGACTTAGGGTTTGATGATTCAAATCTTTGGCACTTGGATTGTTGTGTCCTTGTTGCAATTGAGTTGGATTTGGTTATTTTGGCAGAGGGATGGCAGCGGATGTCCATTTTTCTACTGGAAAGCAGACTACATCAAGCACATCTTAAAGATATTGAAGGAAGACGGCAATGGCACATGTGAAGCCCAGTCCGAAGGAGAATCAAACCTACGTCCTTATGTTGGTCTGATGGACAATGCAGTGGCCAACAAAGCTCAAGGAAATCAAGGGAAGGACCAAGACATAGTTCGTTTGTTGAATATGATATGTGTTCTCTGTGTGTGTATAGTGTTGGCACTTGTGTTAGTTGTGGTTGTTCAGTTGTGCAAATAAACTCAGTCACAACTGTGTAAGAGTACTCATTGTATAATGTGAACATCAGAAGTAATGGAAACCATCCTTTTTATCTCAATTTTCCATCTATTTCATAGTTCACCTGATAGCAATAATAGCATCTATGTGCACATACACTGTTTTGGTCAGCGGTTCATGTGATGATTTAAACAAAAGACTATTGCCACCATCTCAAACATTATTCTGGAGCCATAATAAGCTTTACAAAAGATTGTACAGCACAATCTAAAGCCTTATGCTGGTGCTGAACAAAAGCACAGAAGGACTACACAAAAGCACAAAAAGACTTGTCATCTTCTACTGCTGGTCTGTAGACTTTGACATCAGGTCTTCTTCTTCTTAGGGTCTCCTCCCTTTTTCTGCTGACCTTTGGACTTGTCACCCTGCTTGGCACTTCTCTTATATGATGTTGACCTCCCCAGCTTTGTTGCAGTTGTAGGTGGTAGTGGTCTTGTGGTTGGCAGGTTTGTTCCAATGAATGCAGAGGCTGGCATGGGTTCCTGTTGCCTCACCATGCCGCTTGTCTGTGAAGACTAAAAGAAAACAAGTGTTTGTTAAATGTGACAATAGTAGTTGTTAAAGCATAGTGTCCTGCCTCTTCTTCTAGCTGTGAAAGCATAGTGTTTGTTAACTGTGACAGTAGTGGTGTGTTGGTTTCTGGAAAATGAATGGCAACCTGCAAGCATAGACAGTTAGCTATGCAAGCATAGTGTAAAATTGGTGTATTATGAGTAAAATATTTGGTCAGTTCATACTACCTGTGTAATCACTGGTTGTTCGTCTAAGTTGTCCTCCATTTCCTGTGTGGGTCCTCTTCTTGTGGTCACGTAAAAACAGTGCAGGCTTGGATCGTCACGACGAGCTCGAAGAGTGGCGCTCGGCTTTAATGCCCATGTGGATCAAAGAGTGAAGCTCAGGGAACAGTACCATCGTCGCCATGTCCAGATCGTGTTGAGTTCGGGCCAAGCAAGGAATATATATATATAATCAAAGTGTTCCCCAACTATGATCACGTAGTACTTCGACGATATCTAGGCCTCTAGCTAGCTCCTGCATAGGCCAGTGGCCTTCGCGCACTTTCACTTTCACTTTCTTTCGTCCAATCGTCCTGATGCATGTCATCAGGCCGGTTGCATCGACGGCATCGACGACGACATGACTGATCGAGCAGCTATTCTATAAATACCGTGCAATCAACAACGCCAAGCCATCATCGTGCAGGCTAGGCTACATCGTTTATTTTTTATCAATCAAGGTCGTATCGATGGCTTCGCAGGCGATGCTGCAGGTGTTCGGCCAGCCGGCGTCGACGGACGTGGCGAGGGTCATGGTGTGCCTCCTGGAGCGGCAGCTCGATTTCGAGCTGGTCCGCACCGACACCTTCAAGCGTGGGCACAAACAGCAGCTCCCCGAGTTCGTTAAGATGAGGGCACGTTAAAAAATCCCAGAAACTCCTGCCGCATACTAATCGGCAGTCTGCACCAAGTTTGGATTCTGCTCCTCTTGATCTGATTTACTTGCATGATGGATGTATACAATGCAGGATCCCAGCGGCCATCAGGTGACGCTCACGCACGGCAACGTCACCCTCGGCGGTAACTAACCGAGCTCCGAGCACAAGATTTTGGACGCGCGCGCCGAGCTAGATAGTGGCTTACTGCTGCTGTCAATTCTTTTTCTCCTCTGTGACTGTAGATTCCAGGGACATATGCCGGTACGTGTGCACCGAGTTCCCGCGGTGGTGCACCAGGGACCTGTACGGCGCGGGCGCGCTGGAGCGCGCGTCCATCGAGCAGTGGCTGCAGGCCGAGGCGCAGAGCTTCGACGCGCCGAGCTCGGCGCTGGCGTTATTCCACCTCGCCGTGGGCGGCGCGCCCGCGCCTGCGCCCTACGTCAGCGGCGACGAGGCCGCGGCGGTGGAGAGCGAGCGGCAGCTGGTGCGCGTGCTGGACGTGTACGACGGCGCGCTCGGCCGGAGCGCGTACCTCGCGGGCGACGACTTCACGCTGGCGGACCTGTCCCACCTCCCGAACGCGCACTACCTCGCGTGCTCCGCGAGGGGCCGGGCGCTGCTGGCGTCCAGGGCGAACGTGGCGCGCTGGTACGCGGCCATCTCGTCGCGCCCGGCGTGGAGGCAGGTGGTCGCGGTGCAGGCCCGGACCGCGCACTACCCTGTCGCGTTCCACCCGTCAGCGTCAGGCCACGGCGCCGTTTGATGTTTTGCCTCCCAAAGTCCCAAGCGAGCTTGCCTTGCAGCTAGCACCGTGATGTGTGTCCGTGCAACGTCCTGCACTTGTGTTTTGTGTAACGTACTGTACTGTACGTAGTTCTGTGTATACGTTGCTAACATTTCGTGTCGATATTCGGCGAGAATTAATAAGCGTGCACGAATGTAGTGTGCGGAGTCCCATAGTTATGTCCTCGTTAACATGGATCCATCACCTATTCACCTTCGCCTCCACTTGATATCTTGATGAAGAGTAACTACATCTCCACGTTTCCGTTTCGGCCTTCGGGCTGTTTCCTACCATATGGGCTATCCTGGGCTCCCCGGCCAGTTGATCCATAAGAGCCCACTTGCCAACGCCAACGTAAGAGAGATCACCATTGCTGCTGAACCAGTCATTCCGGGCTTAGTCTTGCTTTCATGTATTGGTTTGGGCTGTGTCGCGACGCTAAAGTGCGGTACGGAACAGGCCATACACCCAACTGTCAGCCAGATTGATGATTAGTTTAACTCGAGTGAAAGTCACATACTATTCGTTAAAGGGTTTTTTATAGTAAAACCTCCGTTTTTCAACGAGTCATTCCAGATTTGAATAGATTTATAAAAATGGTATTAATGTTTATATCTTTAAATAGTCGATCATAGAAAAATATATTCCATAACTAATTTGATGATACTTATTATGTGTCATAAATATTTACTCTATATACTTTCAAAAAAGAATGTAACTCTAGATTTGAGACTAGTCAAACTTTCTTAGGTCGGACCTATTTCATAGAAAAAAAGTACTCATACTTATGTCTCTGTATATATTTACTACGAAAATATATTTCATGATCAATCAATGATGCTTATTTAATAAAAAAATATTAATACTTTTTTTTTATAAAGGAGAGTTAAAATTGTTTGACTTTTTATAAGGAGTATATAAGAGTTAAATTTTTTAGGGTATTTATTTTATATATATATATTTGGTTAAATTTAAAATTACATGACTCACCGAGAATCATAATAGTGCATATTTTTTCTCGCCATGTATTTAGATTACACTGTGCTTTTAGCTTTGTGTGTGTAAATGTCATGTATGTGCACACGAGTCGTGGTATGTAGGCTATGACCCTGTTCTTTACACCAAGAAGTACCGTTCGTTGATTTACTGTAAAAAAAAACACCATCCATGACCGATAAGTTCAAGCAAACAAGGCCAGCTACCAGCTCGACTGCCCACGAGCGCTCCAAAGAGAGGTGAGGCCGTGAGTAGAGCGACGAAGCGTCCAGCAATAAATTGGTGGTAATATATGCCGAGTTCTGCACGCTTTATTTTTCTTTTCGAACTCTCAGCACGCTCTTGAGGGGGCTTAATCAGCATTTCAATTGAGCATCATAGCAGAACAGCAGGAGGCTGAGCAGGCAGCAAAGATTTCATATAAGAACGAAGTAAAAGTGTAAAACAGCACCCCAAGTGCAGCATACGTTTACGAACAACGAGAACAGGATTCAAATTTTGAAGTCGAAATGCCATGCATCCAGACACGGGAGACGATACCACAAAACAAAACATGACGAGTACTCTACTCGATCGACGAGCGATCACTGGATAAGTACAACTTTATTAGGCGGAGTACTGCAATGCAAATTAAAGAAAGACCAGAGAGACCAGAGAGTGCTGCTTCGCTTTTCCTGGGGAAGCCGGGAACGCAGGGCTCGGTTTTCGTCGTCGCAAGCTCGCAGCAATGCCACTGATGGCGCACCCACGAGGCCACGACCCACGAGGGCAGGGCAGAGTGGCAGACGTCAGAAGCAGGCCGGCAGCTATGCGGCAGGATGCCTTTTTGCTTTTGCTTGGTCGCACGGCACGCAGAGGTATGGGCGCCTGCGGCAGCGATGCCCACTGTGGACAGTGGACGCGACGCCACGCGACGCTGTGTGTTTTTCCTGCCGAACAGTCCCATCGGAGATGGCAGTGAGTGCAGCGTTCTACTCTTACAGTTCACAAACGTAAGAGGCTGGGCGCCAGTAACCACGGCGCTGGCGGCAAGATATACGGCGCCGCCGAGCTCGACGTCAAGATCTACGGTGCCGAGTTATCTGCTAAATCATCGTCACATCAACGTCGAGCCCAAAAGCTCGGCGTCAGCAACGATGACGTCGAGACGTGTAAGCTCGGTGCCAGCAACGATAGCGCCAAGCTAAGGGTTTAGATTTTGAAATCTTTTCTTCAGAGACATATTTATGATTTTTTTAAAAAAAGGGACTAAAAATAAAAAATTCAGAATGGGGTGCACCAGGAACCACATGTTTGGATGCCTGGCCATCTACTTGCCTTAGGCTTAAGGCGCCCACTGACTCTGGTTCCTGAGAAACGAAAATCGTCTCCGTTTCCCTTGTTTTTAATCTCAGTATTGCCGGCCACTACTGAAATTACCGAATTTCATGAATTTGAGCCAAATTTTTTTTATAGACTAGCATATAAAGTATGTTTTTTTTCTAAAAAAATAGATTTAAACAAATATTAGTATGATTTATGACTACATATCTATTGAATAGAAAAATATGTAATATAAACAATAGAAAATATGAGTCTACAGTTATATAGCACAAGCATTAGTGTATTACAAAATTTTGGATTTTCTTTCAGCCACCACCGGAATTACCAAAACTCGAGAAATTTCACTGAAATTTTTGAACCCTGCTCATGGGCCTAGCTCACACGGGTGAGTGGAGAACACAACAGCGCAAGCGACGACGCGCGGGAGCATTATTGTTGCACCTATTTCGTGCCATCTGCTCGTACCTCAAGCCGCCGTTGTCCCCCATTCACCCTCTCTCTCTCACTCATCGATCTCCTCTTTTGTCCAAAATAATTTTTTTATTGCTAAGAGCGACAGTTGAGATTTGGTACTCGATGGAATCCAAGATTCTAGGTCCGGATATTGCAATCTATGAGGGAGTTGAGGAGGTGGCATAAGTTCCCTCTTCTACTAAACACTGAGGAGGAAGGAGACAATGGAGCAGACAATGATGGCGAAGAAGGAAGAACATGCACGATGGCTGTGAGATAATGTACTAGAAAATGGTCTAAGATGAAACTAGCATTGCAAAAGTGATTGGAATTATGGCTTAGGGTGATATGCATGTGTTGCTTATATATGCTTGTGATATGATGTTTTTTTTGCATAATATGTTTTGTGAGGTGTTGTGCACAATGTTTTGAGACAAGTTGTGGACGTATGCTCGTAAACAATTGCATGTTTGTTTATGTGGAGGTGTTGCTTGAGGCAGAACGTGGTCGATGACGCAGTAGAACTAGGTTAAGAATGGAATTAGGGTTTCGAGACTAAATTTAAGGAGGAACCGAGTCCCATGAACCAAAGAATAATATACAATAAGATAATCACTTTGTAAGAAGTATATGAGAGACAATACGATGAGATATTTTTCTTCCCAGTACGGTTTGAATGGTGTCACGTAGGCGTGTGATGGTGGTTGGCTAGTTGCAGCTTGATGATGTGAAAATTGCAAGGAGAGGTTAACATGCGTGCATATATGCCGCCGTGAGGAGCATGTGGGCCCTGTTATTGCGTGAGACCCATGCAATTTGAGATGGACTTCGTGATGTGCAGGACATGGACCATGCCCATATGCTTTGTATGCCTGCCGTGAAGCATGGGTGGGCCAGTAGTGGGCCTAGGTGATGCATATGCATGCGTCATGCACTACTATAGAGGTACTTGGTAGCAACGGTTCTTTTTTTTTTTTTTGGTAGGGGCGGCTGCTCTACAATGCCTCCATCGGGTCCCACGAGACCAGCCACCCTTATAATGGGCATAGTAGGGGCGGCTGGTGATACGAGCCGCTCCTACAAATAGCTCGATTTGTTGGGGCGGCTCAATCACCAAATTACCTACAAATATTTTTGTATTTTTAATTTTTTTTAAATGTTAATTCTGCATATTTTTTATAAATGTATATATAAATGTATTAAAAACAATTTGCTATATTTGCTCGTACACATAAAAAACAACTTGCAGATATATATATAATGATACATTTTCTTTTTTTAAAAATAAAAAAAAATTATATTTAAAAATTGAAAATTTGAATTTGTGAACTTCGAATTAAATTTAAAGTCAGAAAATGACCTAAAATGAAAATGTTGTAAACATAAAAGTTGTAAAACTCATTAAGATTTACATCTTTCATTTTGGTCGTCTTTTCATGTGACTTAGTTTGAAAAGTTTAAATTTTGAATTTCATAAAATGGTAACTTCAAACAACATTTTCAAAGAGTAAATAATTTCAGGTGAAAAAGTCATGAATATAAAAGTTGTATAACTCATCAAGATCTAAAACTTTTATTTTGGTCATTTCTTCATCCGACAAAGTGATAAGAACATTATTTATAAATTTTACATCTCTCATATGGTTTCATAAATAATATGGGAAATATGTAAGTTTTGTGAACAATGTTACTATCACTTTGTCAGATGAAGAAATAACCAAAATAAAAGTTATAGGTCTTGATGATTTTTACAACTTTGGTATTTATCACTTTTTCAGCTGAAATCATTTGGTGTTTCAAAATCTGGTTTGAACTTGTTATTTTTTAAAATTCAAAATTTAAATTGCTCAAACTTCGTCACACGAAAAATTTGATAAAATCAACACAATACCTTGATAGAGCATGATTTTAGAAAATTTTGAGAAAAAATCATCACATTTAGAGTTAGTATGAGGGAGAAAGACCAGTTACAAGTTTTAGCCAGAGATTAAAAAGAGAAATAACACTGACCAAAATAAAATTTGTAGAACTTAATGAGTCCTACAACTTTGGTATTCATGGCATTCTCAGCTGAAATCATTTGGTATTTCAAAATGTGGTTTGAAGTTGTAATTTTTTAAAATTCAAAATTTTAATTGTCAAAACTTAATCACATGAATAGATAACCAAAATAAAAGTTGTACATCTTGATGAGTTATACAACTTTG